TGGATTGGGGTGGGGCTGCGCAGGTTACTCGAGTGTACCTGTCTGCCCTGCAGTCAGGTTTTCCAGAGATGCGCCGAGGCTTTCCCCCTGGTCCTCTTCCTTCGCCCTAGACCCCGCTGGGCTTCCTCTGGCCTTGGCGTCGCGCTAGGGGGCGCTCCAGCACCTAGTTAAGGGCTCACTGCGGCCGCTGCTCCTGTGGACGAGGTCACTCCAAGCATTCCCATGGGGTACATTGGCAGTGACATCCGGCTGATGGGAACCGAAGGTGCCTTCCTCTGCTCAATTGTTCTGCCAAGGGCCCGGGTGTGCGACTTCCCTCCTCCTCTCGCCGCATTTATCAAATTAATCATTAACAGGGCTCTGCAGCCTCCGCCCCTGATGTCTCAGTCCTTGGCTTCAGGAACTTCTTTCTTAGCTTGAGATTTCCAGCACAAGTGGAGTAAGACCACTTCTGATCTGATTCAGAGCTTATCCACAGGTTTTTGGGGTGCAAGGTCCTGAGCATGGGTTGATGGGCAGTGGGATGAGGGGAAAAAGCAAATTGGGGAGGCCCATGCTATAGGAGAAACTGCCATCCCATCCCCAAGGGGAGTTGTAGTCTTCCTGATCTTGAAAATTGTTTTTTTTTTTGGTGTGTGTGTGTACGTGTGTGTGTGTGTGTGTGTGTGTGTGTGTGCTTTTATTTCAAGGCAACCATTACTAAGAGCTTTCAAATGCTGCTAACTCTGAGGGGTACCTTGTTTTGGAATGATGAGTTCCAACATGGCAGACCAGTTATGGTTTGGGGCTTTTCATTCTCTTGCTGTCTTCTCTAAATTGAGAATATGATCCCATAGATCATGCCCATGTTGCCCTCTGTTTTCCTGCCTGCCTCTGATCTAACTTTGGAATCTTCTGTTGATGAAAAATGTGAACTTGGTAGGGCTTCTCCTCATGCTGAGGAAACCATTGTTTGGGATAATATATTTGGAATCTCTCAAATTCTTTTGTTTGTCTTTCAAGGAATGTGGCAATTTAGGAGTCGGATTTCCTTTTCTTCTTTTTTTATTTTTATTTTTTATTTTTTTTAGAGAGAGAGAGGTTTTTTCTATAGGGCATGTGTGTTTGCTGGAGAGAGACAGAGAGACAGAAAGCAAGAAATCACTTCCCCAGGGGGGATGGCCATGCTGTAATCCCTTGTCCATTCTCCTCTGGGAATCTTGGGCATGCATGCACACATGCCTGGTGTGTTTCAAACTGCCAGGTCCAGGACTTGAACCAAGGTCTACTACATGGGAGTCCAGCAACATAATAATTTTGCCATCTGCTAGTCCCAGTAGTCAGATTTTTCTGTGTCCTGTTTTTTGTTTGTTTGTTTATCCCTTGGAGGTGAGTTCACCTCAGAGGATGGAATAAATTCTAGGTGGAATTTTTCCACTGACTGTTATTTGTTTTGAGAGATTTTTGCTACAGGGCCTGTGCATTCACCAGAGAGACAGAAAACAAGAAATCGCCCCCAGGGAGGATGACCATGGCATGATTCCTTCTCCTCCGTTCTCCTCTTGGGATTTTGGGCAGTCATGCACATGCACCCAGCATGAATTTAAAGCTGCCAGGTCCATGATTCAAACTGCAGTCGACCATATGGGAGTTCAGCACCTTAACCACTATGCCACCTTCTGGGCCCCCTTCAACTCTTGTTAAGCACAGAGAAAAGTGACACTGGTGTGCAGGGGATCCCATCTATCACACATATCAGAGGATAGATGGGGCTGACTTGAGGTGGAATAACATTGAGAGGGAGGGAGACAGGGCCTGCAGAAGCCATGTTGGCTTTTGCAGTGGGTCACTGGCTTTCCATTGAGTCCCAGCCAAAGATCACACTACAGTGTGGTCTGTTTGTCCAGATTCCTCACCATACACTCATGCGAAGACTGTGATCTTTGCCTGGCTTCATGTGTCATCTCCAACATCAGGAGGAAAGTGTGGTGCAGAGGTTAGGGAACATGGAGGTGATGATGGTGGTGATGGTGATGTATGTGTGGGAAACTTATTCCAAACATTGAAGCAGTTCTTTGTCACTGAGACTGTACTTGTTTATCTTCCCAGCATACATTCCTGCCTTTGCAAAAGAGAGAGACCTTTGCTGACTTGTTTCAGAGCCAGAGTGGCATTCATTGTCCAAATTCTGATTTGATACCCACTTGGGCCTATGGATTCTATGTATCCAACGTGCTCTTGACACTTTAAAGAAGCTTTAAAGCCAAGCTCTGGCGCTGAGGTAGACTAATGCCTAGGGCATGATCTGAACAAATGAACGTAGTTGGCATGGAATCCAGTGGTACTTTGTTCCAAGAGATCGCATGAGGGCTAGAGCACTTAGAGAAGCAGAGGAGTATCAGTGAAAATTGAGTAGCAGTAATAATAATAAGAGTTTACTGGGAGTTAAGTACTTTACTTGAATCATTTCATGTAATCTTTCAAAAACCCTGTAAGATGGGCATTATTAACATCGTCCAGAACTCATAGAGGTTGGGTAAGAAGCCCAAAGAGATCACTGAGATGGTCAGTGGCAGCGGTGCTGAATGGAGGTGTGCTTGACACCAGACCTTAAGCTTGAAAGCATTTTGCTGTTTACTGTCACAGAGAAAGTTTCATAAAAGTAGGGACCTGTGAACAAGACTTCAAGAGGTGAGTAGGATTTAAATGAAGGGAGAGGGATATTTGTCTGAGGGGATAGGCATCTTTGAAGGAACTCCAGAAAGACTGGCCCAGTTATTAATAGAATGGGAGATGAACATAGGGGCATAATGAAATATATAGCTAGTGGGCTAAGGTAGGATAGGATAGGATAGGATCATGTTTTGGAAAGCCTTGAAGAAGGAAACTTAGCTTCGATACGGGAAGAAATAGGGGCTGTTGAGATTTTTGAACAAGGAAGAGCTCGACAAAAGCAGTACTAATCCTTTGGTGTGACCTACCTGGGCCCCTGAGCCTGTGCCACTCTCCACCTCCCCCCCCCCCTTTTTAAGAGAGATTTTTGTTATAGGGTACATGGGCTTACTGGAGACACAGAAAGACAGAAAGCTAGAAATCACCCCTGGGGGAATGGCCATGTTGCAATCGTTTCTCATCCATTCTCCTCTCGGGGTTTTGGGCACACACACACATGCGCCTGGTATGAGTTTTAAGCCGCTGGGTCTGGGACTTGAACCACACTCAACTACATGGGATTCCAGTGATGTAACCATTACACTATCTTCTGGTCCTTCTTCTCTCTCTCTCTGTTTCTTTTTTAAATTATTTATTCTTTCTGAGAGAGAGAAAGAAAGAATATAAGACAACAATTCCAACAGGGTGCTGATGCCCTGTCTCAGTCAACTGGATTATGGGCAAGGGTATACCTAGAGTGCTGAGGGAGGTCTCCAGACTTGAACTATTGTAGGATGATGCAGAAACCTTCTGATGTGAGACTGCCTTATAGAACATTGCGTTTTATTGCTGCACCACCTTTTGGTTCCTCTTGACCTTTCTTGAGAAATTTGCCTTGTCAGCATATTGAACTGTTGTTTTTGAATTTATTGAACACTTGTGGGGGTACCAGATACATGCAGCTGAATAGATTCCTGGGCCCAGTGTGCAGAAGGGACAAGCTAAGGGCCCTGAGTCAAATTCAGTTCTGAATGGTTGTGCTTCAGCCACAATTGAATTAAGGGTCAAGGTTGAAAAAGCAAAAGATATCCATAAAAATGGCTGCATTCTGGTGTACATACCAGAAACTGCATGGGGTGAGGGGGAGTTTAGCAGAAATAGACATAAGAATGCATGTAGGGGACCAGCAGGTGGCGTGGTGGTTGAGGCGCTGGACTCCCACATGGCCAACCACAGTTGGAGTCCTGGGTAGCTTGCCTTCTTACTTTCCCTTTCCTTTCTCTCTGTCTCTCTCTGGTCAAATTATAAAAAAAATTAGTAAGAATAACAAATGGAATTAAATCAATAAAGAATTCTTTTAAAAAAAAGAATGCATGTAAGTAAAGGGAGGAGGTTATGGAATGTTGAACCACAACAGAGTAAAAAATACAGACAACTTAATCCATATTTCTGGAGGGAAAAAAAGCTAGCAGAACTCTTATCAAATGTGTACAGCATAAAGTAATGTTCAATGTTGGAGAAGAGGAATATATATCTATGTCCCTTATTTGATTAGTAGGCACAGTATCCATGGTTTGAAAAATTGTACCCCACAAAGATGTATTTGGGCTGTCAGAAAAGTCATGACACATTTTTGCTTGGTAAAAAAAATGAAAAAATGCATCATGACTTTCCCAGCAAATCAATGCATTGAATGTATATAAACTAGAAATCATAATTTTTTAAAGGATTGTTTTATTAACTTTATTTATTTACTAATTTTAATTTGACGAGAGAGAGAGAGAAAGCAAGAAAGCAAGCTGCCAGGTCTGGGACTCGAACCACAGTCGGCCATGTGGGAGTCCAGCACCCTTAACCACCATACCATCTGCTGGCCCTGAAATCATAATTTCTTAAAAAATCAGAATTTTCAGCTCATCTTGACATGTGAGGAGGCTTGATATATATTCCACCTGTGGAAGGCAGAGCTGTGCTGGACTCTTGACTCTTCTAGCTGGAGACTGAACGCTCTGTTCTCCCACAGTCCTGTACAGCCCACGGGACCCATTCCTGGAATCTATCTGACCCTGTAGGACCCAAACCCCTGCTTAACAGAAAGAAACCTCCACCTAGGAAGATTCTAAATCAGGATTAGCTTGTTCTTTTTTTTTTTTTTTTTTTTTGAGAGGTTTTCACTATAGGGCGCGTGCGCTCGCCAGACAGACAGAGAG